ACATAAGAGCAGCTTACCGGTCAGTACCAATTTACCCACCACATCGTCAATTGCAAGGTTTTCGCTGGCGATTTCCGGGTAGAAAGGAACAATTTTATGTAGACAATTTTGTGCTTCGGATTAGCCAACGCTCCGTATATATTTCAAAAGATTTCTTGCGCCATAGCTGAAATCATGCGAAAACGGGGATTTACCGTTATTGTCTATTTAGACGATTTTTTATTAATCGAGCCGACCTTTACGGCATGTTTAAACGCCCAAAACACTCTCATTGCGCTGCTTACTTCACTCGGTTTTGCCGTAAAGTGGGAGAAAGTTATAGGGCCAATTCAGAGAGTGAAATTTTGGGAATAATTATTGATTCCGTCAAATGCACTCTTGAAATTCCTGCTGATAAGATTGCAGAGCTTTTACAAGACGTCAACATGTTGTCACAGTCTCAGTCAATATCTAAAAAGGAATTACAGAAACTTATCGGCAATATGTCATTCGTTTCAAAAGCAGTGTATAGTGCAAGAGTCTTTACAAGAGTGTTCATTGACATTCTGTGCAATCTTGAACATCTTAGTGACCGAATTCTTATTAACGATATTATTCGTTCAGAATTCTTATGGTGGTCAAAATACACTGCCGTTTTAAATGGCCTTGTTCCTGTTCATTAGGTGCCGTATGGCCGGTAGTGACCGTATATACCGACGCGTCATTTTCCGGGTTTGGCGCTGCTGCGCGACAGTTATCTTGCCGGTACATGGTCGCAATCACAGCCACCCGCAGGGTTTGCAAGAAACTGGGCACTAAGTCCCATTGTGCACCATGAATTGTTGCACAACATAAATTTTTTGGAATTAGTGGCATGCTTACCGCTTCTAATATTTGCGCCTTCTTTTACTGGGCACAAAATTTTAGTCATGTCGGATAATACGCAGACAGTTGCCTTTTGAACCGCGGAACAACGAAAACCTTCATGCCTTAAAATGGCTAAAGGCAGTTTTCGCTGTTAGCCTGCGCTTTAACTTTCGCTTTACCGCTACCCACGCGGCAGGCGTATTAAATGTGCGCCGACGCTCTAAGTCGGATTACGGAAAACGCCGCGCATGCAGAACGGTTTTAAAGCATCGTAACTCAAATTTTCCAGGTAGTTCGTTACCTGAATATTTCATTTATAGCTATCCCAATATGGTCATTGGAAAAACGATTGAACAGTTTGCGGACGAATGCTTTGGCTCCTCATCACATAAAACTCGTCGTTCGCAATGGACGTGTTTTGAGAAGTTCTGCCTTAGTCACGGTTTAAAAGCGCGACCGGCTTCTGTCAAAACAGTCTGTCTGTTCATAGCGCACCTATCCGAATCTAAACAATTTAGCACGATACTTAACTACACGCATGCCTTGGTATCTTATCACACTATGCATGGGTTCAGCGCGCCTGATTTACGCCATCCCTCTGTACGACAAGCGCTGGATGGGGTTCAGCGAAGTCGCGAGGAACTGCCTAACAAAAGGCTTCCGGTTACGATTCAGCACTTGCACGCAATATATGATAATCTATCAGTATTACGTAACCGGTATCGCAAACCGTTCTGGGCGGCTTGCTTGACTGCGTTTTATTCGCTAGCACGTAGCTCCAATCTCTTTCACTCCTTCAAACAAACATCTCCTCTGTAGAGATATTACTTTTACCAAAGATGGAGCTACATTATGCATGCAGGTTCTAAAACCAACCGATTTAAGAAAGCGCACATATTGGTACCACTACCGCAGTTGCACGTTTCTAACCGGTTATGTCCTGTTAATGCAATACGAGCCATGTTAGCTGAAAATAACGCGCCCGCCACAGCGGCTTTGTTCAGCTTCCGTGCTCGGTCGGTTTTGAAACCTTTATCTTCTGTTAGGTTTCATGGATTACTCCGGCATGTATTACGGGCGTCTATCCCATGTGGTTCTGACATCTCCTCTTTGTTCTCGCTCCTTGCCTAACATAGTTGTTGATTCCGATCTCCAGTCGCGGTGTGCTTTAACAAGGCACATTCACACCTGGCAGAAGGAATTAATAGCTATTAATTCTCCAGATAGCCAGTTTATATTAGCTGGTATAGCGACCGGCTTTCGCATTGTTGATGACATTAACGCTATACCTCCATCAGACTGTCCCAATTACTCTTCAGCTTTGACTGACACTGCCAAGCCGATGCTTGACAAACTGTTCAGAGAGGAGCTGGACAGTGGGAAGATTTCTATCCAGTCTAATAAACCTTGGCGTATTAATTCTATTGGAGCAGTGCCGAAAAAAGGCTGCAACAGTTTGCGACCGATCACAGACTGTAGCCGACCTACCGGCAACTCCTTAAACAATTTTATCAACGCCAGTACTTTTACTTTTGAAACGATCGACGACGCTGTTGCTTGCAGCCGACGTAATTGCTTTTTCGCAATTATTGACATAAGAGCAGCTTACCGGTCAGTACCAATTTACCCACCACATCGTCAATTGCAAGGTTTTCGCTGGCGATTTCCGGGTAGAAAGGAACAATTTTATGTAGACAATTTTTTGTGCTTCGGATTAGCCAACGCTCCGTATATATTTCAAAAGATTTCTTGCGCCATAGCTGAAATCATGCGAAAACGGGGATTTACCGTTATTGTCTATTTAGACGATTTTTTATTAATCGAGCCGACCTTTACGGCATGTTTAAACGCCCAAAACACTCTCATTGCGCTGCTTACTTCACTCGGTTTTGCCGTAAAGTGGGAGAAAGTTATAGGGCCAATTCAGAGAGTGAAATTTTTGGGAATAATTATTGATTCCGTCAAATGCACTCTTGAAATTCCTGCTGATAAGATTGCAGAGCTTTTACAAGACGTCAACATGTTGTCACAGTCTCAGTCAATATCTAAAAAGGAATTACAGAAACTTATCGGCAATATGTCATTCGTTTCAAAAGCAGTGTATAGTGCAAGAGTCTTTACAAGAGTGTTCATTGACATTCTGTGCAATCTTGAACATCTTAGTGACCGAATTCTTATTAACGATATTATTCGTTCAGAATTCTTATGGTGGTCAAAATACACTGCCGTTTTAAATGGCCTTGTTCCCTGTTCATTAGGTGCCGTATGGCCGGTAGTGACCGTATATACCGACGCGTCATTTTCCGGGTTTGGCGCTGCGCTGCGCGACAGTTATCTTGCCGGTACATGGTCGCAATCACAGCCACCCGCAGGGTTTGCAAGAAACTGGGCACCAAGTCCCATTGTGCACCATGAATTGTTGCACAACATAAATTTTTTGGAATTAGTGGCAGCATGCTTACCGCTTCTAATATTTGCGCCTTCTTTTACTGGGCACAAAATTTTAGTCATGTCGGATAATACGCAGACAGTTGCCTTTTTGAACCGCGGAACAACGAAAAACCTTCATGCCTTAAAATGGCTAAAGGCAGTTTTCGCTGTTAGCCTGCGCTTTAACTTTCGCTTTACCGCTACCCACGCGGCAGGCGTATTAAATGTGCAAGCCGACGCTCTAAGTCGGATTACGGAAAACGCCGCGCATGCAGAACGGTTTTTAAAGCATCGTAACTCAAATTTTCCAGGTAGTTCGTTACCTGAATATTTCATTTATAGCTATCCCAATATGGTCATTGGAAAAACGATTGAACAGTTTGCGGACGAATGCTTTGGCTCCCTCATCACATAAAACTCGTCGTTCGCAATGGACGTGTTTTGAGAAGTTCTGCCTTAGTCACGGTTTAAAAGCGCGACCGGCTTCTGTCAAAACAGTCTGTCTGTTCATAGCGTATCTATCCGAATCTAAACAATTTAGCACGATACTTAACTACACGCATGCCTTGGTATCTTATCACACTATGCATGGGTTCAGCGCGGCTGATTTACGCCATCCCTCCGTACGACAAGCGCTGGATGGAGTTCAGCGAAGTCGCGAGGAACTGCCTAACAAAAGGCTTCCGGTTACGATTCAGCACTTGCACGCAATATATGATAATCTATCAGTATTACGTAACCGGTATCGCAAACCGTTCTGGGCGGCTTGCTTGACTGCGTTTTATTCGCTAGCACGTAGCTCCAATCTCTTTCACTCCCCTTCAAACAAACATCTCCTCTGTAGAGATATTACTTTTACCAAAGATGGAGCTACATTATGCATGCAGGTTCTAAAAACCAACCGATTTAGGAAAGCGCACATATTGGTACCACTACCGCAGTTGCACGTTTCTAACCGGTTATGTCCTGTTAATGCAATACGAGCCATGTTAGCTGAAAATAACGCGCCCGCCACAGCGGCTTTGTTCAGCTTCCGTGCTCGGTCGGTTTTGAAACCTTTATCTTCTGTTAGGTTTCATGGATTACTCCGGCATGTATTACGGGCAGCAGGCCTACCCCACCACAGGATATCAGCACACTCCTTTCGTCGTGGCGCAGCAACACTGGCAACAGCCATACATTTACCAGCACCCATACTAAAAGCTCAAGGAAACTGGCGGAGCACCTGCTTTGAGCGGTATGTCCATCAAGACCTTGACTTGCGCCTCACCTTCGCCAAATCCTTCGGCCACGCCATTGATGGATTCCATCCTTCACGGATCTCTTAATCTCCTGACACTCATGGTTTGGTTTGTTTGTTTTTTTTTTCTTTTGTCGTTTTTTGTTTGTTCTTTTGTTTTTGCTCTGTTTGCGGGTTTGGGGCTTCCTTGTTTGATGATGTAATTAATGCCTGAATAAACTCCGAACAGCGAAGCAGTTTACGTTGTTGTTGTATGCGTAGCGGTCACAATAATATTGTTATTTTTGCTTTTTTCTCCCGAGTTAACATTTGTATACGGCGCACGGTTAAATACGGTTTGTATACGGCGCACGGTATACGGCGCTAGATATACGGTATAGGGCGCACGGTATACGGTCTCGTATACGGTTTGTTTTCTCCTTATCTGTATACGGCGCTGTTTTTTTGTCTAATGATGATTGACAACATTTTGCCTATGGTCGAACAGAATGATCGGCTCCTTTATGTCAACCGGAAATTTTCACAACACTATCCAAATTTACGTGTAATTTGCGGTAACAAGCAGCCTTTTATGATTGTACTTCCTCAACATTGTTGGAGCAACAAAAACAATTCGAAACAAAATATTGAATCTGCTTATTTTTTGCGCCGCGCGTGATAGTTAACCAGCTAGGTACTTTTCTAAGTTGCAGGTAGACTTTATTCGATATAGAATGTTGTCAGTCATTATGCCGACTGGCGTCGAACAGCTGGCTTCTGTCGTTGTCGGCGTCCGCCCGTGTACTCCGATTAGTTAATACAGGGTTCCTTCTTGACAACCAGCGAACCGTCCTTCTTCTTCAGGACATTGAAAATTTTGTTCTTCATGCTTTCCGCTGGGCTCGATCCGGATTTGGGCGCGTTCAGGTCCACCTACATAACATACGGTAATTTAATAAACGTTGGCATTATCATTATCCATCAGATGCAGGTTGAGCAGACGCTGCTGTAGCCGTTAAGGCGAAATGCCACTTACAAACATGTTATATTCCGTTCCGGCCGGGGTGACGCTTTTGACGTACTGGGTGACGACAACCTGAGCACGGCCGTACTTTCCACCGCAACGCGACTGTGGAGGTGGCTTTCCGTCGGGACTTAACGCGAAGAACGCTTTCTATTTAAAAAAAAACGCATGACTTGTAAAGGTCTTTTGAAAGAAGGCCTCTTTGACGTATTAGAAGATCACAAAATCATGGTTCCTAAGAATTAGTCTATAATCTTGTTGCAGCAAAGATGGCATTTCTTAAATTGTCACACGGGGAGTCACAATAGACAGCTTTTTATCACTTACAGTGGCAATTTGGTTCGCTTCGTCGTCTCCCTTCCGAGCAGCGACGTAGACTACCGCCAAAGCCAACAACAACGACACCTTAATCAACGACATTGCGGAAGGATGTGGTGTTGCACTGGGGTGAAAAATAGAAACGGATGTTTAACACCAATGATGGTGTTTTCCGTGTGTGTTTAAATACGACGGCAAACTGGGTAAAGCATAGGCTCGGTCGCCGATTCGGCTCCGAATAAAAAATGTGCATGCCCTGAAGACAAAAAAATTTACAGTATGCAATAAGAGGAGTAAATTGGCAGACATTGTGTCTTAACATTTTTGCTTTTGCCGGCTAATTGACACTATCCAGGCACGACAGCATTGACTTCCTGCTGCACCCTGTCTGCAAAAGGAATGCAACTTTCTGATAAACCGGTCCTGGTACCGTATATCTATGTGTAAGGGCGGGACGCCCCGCCCTCCTGAGTAGCTATTCGCTGTTTCTGGGGATTTCCACCCCGCACATTGCTGCGCTGTTTTGACGGACCTGCAGCACAGTTGCACTGGCTGCAGGATCCTTCCTCGTTAGTCTGGTGTTGCTGCGCCACGGTGCGCATTAGATTCGGCAATAAAGCCTCATCCGGGTTCACCGCTGTTCGCTGTCGAGGATACGCGTGGCGCCCATACGGCCCCGCGTTATATGGTAGCAGATCGTTGGTTACGAGCCAGGCCGTGCACGCTGCCCGCGCGCACGGCTCCTCTGATTATTTGAGCCAATTTAACCCCTGGGTGTGGAGCTACAAACGCCCCCCCCATTCTCGCGGAACGTGACGGATTCTCTCCCAACTGACGGAGATGGACGCCTCCCGCGACGACATGCCTCCCAAACTGGACGGAGATGCCGCGGAGCTGAGAAACGCCTCCTGCGATGCCGTGGAGCGAGAATTGCCTCCTGCGATGCCGACGGCGAACGCGACCGGACCAGCGGGAAACCATAACGGATACACCGCCAACAGCAGCACCAACTCCGATCCCAACGGCACGGATCGACCACCAGCACCACGCCGAAGAATTCCCCACCAAAACACTGCCCGAACTTCCTGGGACGGCGACATCCCCGGACGGAGCAGTGGATTTCACCGCGGATTTGCGTGCTTTGTTTTTTGCAGGGGTCACGGCCACATAGACCCCAAACCCTGCCCAAATTTCCCAGAACGTGACCTTTCCCTTGCTGAAGAAACTACGGAATTCACCCGTTTCCGGGTTGGACCCTGGATCTGGCGCGACAGTGCGTTGACCCAGACGGTTGACTCGGACCGAACCGGAGCCGACCTGACCCGGAACCCAACCTGAGCCGAACCGGATTTGAGCCGACCAAACTGGAACCGAGCCGACCGGATTAACCGCCCGAACCGGACCGAACTGACCCGGAACCCAACATGAGCCGAACCGGCGGGGGGTGCGATCCTCCGAATCCTGGGAGATTTCGCTCCGAGGACGTAGCGATGCCTGCAAAAGGGTGTAAGGGCGGGACGCCCCGCCCTCCTGAGTAGCTATTCGCTGTTTCTGGGGATTTCCCCCGCACATTGCTGCGCTGTTTGACGGACCTGCAGCACAGTTGCACTGGCTGCAGGATCCTTCCTCATTAGTTTTGGTGTTGCTGCGCCACGGTGCGCATTAGATTCGGCAATAAAGCCTCATCCGGGTTCACGCTGTTCGCTGTCGAGGATACGCGTGGCGCCCATATGGCCCCGCGTTATATGGTATATACCGGATTCTCCGGTTGAACCCAGATCTACAGGAACTCAACCAGGAACCTGTACCTGGAGTCCAACCGCAGTCTCCCCCGGATGATATCGGGTAAACCAGCCGATTCACCGGTGACCACGACTACGCGCGTCTTTGAACGTGCTGCCATTCCCTGAAGAGGAACAGCGACGGTGATTTGGATACTGGTGTACCAACGACTCCGCCGCGACCTGCTTCCCCATGTCTTCAATGGAACATCCTAGGCAGACCGAGTTAGAATACTCGCCCTGCACCCCTTTAACGAATCCCCGATGTCGATGCCCACTTGCCCGCAACAAGTACCGGCCAATTGGACAGCGGCACCGGCAAAGGAAAAATTTCCCGTGGACATGAGTCGTCTACCCCAACAGAAGCGGCTAGGCGTCACAGGTTCGCGACAAAACAAAATGGAAGAATCGGATCTGACGACCTCAGGGACTTGCATGTGCATGAAGTTTAAACCAAAGAGCTCGGCTCGGCAACCGGGGCCACAAAGACCCTTAGTGTTGTGAGCGAGCGCAGTGCATGATGAAACGCCAGTCAATCGGCCAACAGACGCCAAGGAACTTCTACCTTGCACGACTCGACGGCCTAGAAGCAAGTCATTCGGATTAACCGACCTCAACAGTAGCTCGGATCCGACCTGGAGTTCATATCAGAAACCACAGAGGGAACGGAGTTGTGCTGCCGAACATCCTTCTGCCAGTCCGAACTGACCGGCTCCGAATAAAAAATGTGCATGCCCTGAAGACAAAAAAATTTACAGTATGCAATAAGAGGAGTAAATTGGCAGACATTGTGTCTTAACATTTTTGCTTTTGCCGGCTAATTGACACTATCCAGGCACGACAGCATTGACTTCCTGCTGCACCCTGTCTGCAAAAGGAATGCAACTTTCTGATAAACCGGTCCTGGTACCGTATATCTATGTAAGGGCGGGACGCCCGCCCTCCTGAGTAGCTATTCGCTGTTTCTGGGGATTTCCACCCCGCACATTGCTGCGCTGTTTTGACGGACCTGCAGCACAGTTGCACTGGCTGCAGGATCCTTCCTCGTTAGTCTGGTGTTGCTGCGCCACGGTGCGCATTAGATTCGGCAATAAAGCCTCATCCGGGTTCACCGCTGTTCGCTGTCGAGGATACGCGTGGCGCCCATACGGCCCCGCGTTATATGGTAGCAGATCGTTGGTTACGAGCCAGGCCGTGCACGCTGCCCGCGCGCACGGCTCCTCTGATTATTTGAGCCAATTTAACCCCTGGGTGTGGAGCTACAAACGCCCCCCCATTCTCGCGGAACGTGACGGATTCCTCTCCCAACTGACGGAGATGGACGCCTCCCCGCGACGACATGCCTCCCAAACTGGACGGAGATGCCGCGGAGCGAGAAACGCCTCCTGCGATGCCGTGGAGCGAGAATTGCCTCCTGCGATGCCGACGGCGAACGCGACCCGGACCAGCGGGAAACCATAACGGATACACCGCCAACAGCAGCACCAACTCCGATCCCAACGGCACGGATCGACCACCAGCACCACGCCGAAGAATTCCCCCACCAAAACACTGCCCGAACTTTCCTGGGACGGCGACATCCCCCGGACGGAGCAGTGGATTTCACCGCGGATTTGCGTGCTTTGTTTTTTGCAGGGGTCACGGGCCACATAGACCCCAAACCCCTGCCCAAATTTCCCCAGAACGTGACCTTTCCTTGCTGAAGAAACTACGGAATTCACCCGTTTCCGGGTTGGACCCTGGATCTGGCGCGACAGTGCGTTGACCCAGACGGTTGACTCGGACCGAACCGGAGCCGACCTGACCCGGAACCCAACCTGAGCCGAACCGGATTTGAGCCGACCAAACTGGAACCGAGCCGACCGGATTAACCGCCCGAACCGGACCGAACTGACCCGGAACCCAACATGAGCCGAACCGGCGGGGGGGTGCGGATCCTCCGAATCCTGGGAGATTTCGCTCCGAGGACGTAGCGATGCCTGCAAAGGGTGTGGGCGGGACGCCCCGCCCTCCTGAGTAGCTATTCGCTGTTTCTGGGGATTTCCCCCCCGCACATTGCTGCGCTGTTTTGACGGACCTGCAGCACAGTTGCACTGGCTGCAGGATCCTTCCTCATTAGTTTTGGTGTTGCTGCGCCACGGTGCGCATTAGATTCGGCAATAAAGCCTCATCCGGGTTCACGCTGTTCGCTGTCGAGGATACGCGTGGCGCCCATATGGCCCCGCGTTATATGGTATATACCGGATTCTCCGGTTGAACCCAGATCTACAGGAACTCAACCAGGAACCTGTACCTGGAGTCCAACCGCAGTCTCCCCCGGATGATATCGGGTAAACCAGCCGATTCACCGGTGACCACGACTACGCGCGTCTTTGAACGTGCTGCCATTCCCTGAAGAGGAACAGCGACGGTGATTTGGATACTGGTGTACCAACGACTCCGCCGCGACCTGCTTCCCATGTCTTCAATGGAACATCCTAGGCAGACCGAGTTAGAATACTCGCCCTGCACCCCTTTAACGAATCCCCGATGTCGATGCCCACTTGCCCGCAACAAGTACCGGCCAATTGGACAGCGGCACCGGCAAAGGAAAAATTTCCCGTGGACATGAGTCGTCTACCCCCAACAGAAGCGGCTAGGCGTCACAGGTTCGCGACAAAACAAAATGGAAGAATCGGATCTGACGACCTCAGGGACTTGCATGTGCATGAAGTTTAAACCAAAGAGCTCGGCTCGGCAACCGGGGCCACAAAGACCCTTAGTGTTGTGAGCGAGCGCAGTGCATGATGAAACGCCAGTCAATCGGCCAACAGACGCCAAGGAACTTCTACCTTGCACGACTCGACGGCCTAGAAGCAAGTCATTCGGATTAACCGACCTCAACAGTAGCTCGGATCCGACCTGGAGTTCATATCAGAAACCACAGAGGGAACGGAGTTGTGCTGCCGAACATCCTTCTGCCAGTCCGAACTGACCGTAGGATGTCCCGACACCAAGGACCCGGCCAACTGTAGCCGAACGCACAGAACTCCTAAAATGAAGTCAACAACCACCAGATGGAGGCCGGAAGCAAGCGACAACAAGTCGGAAAATCAACCAGAAGTACGAAATCGACCTCCTAGTGAAAGAATTTAGCCTTTCGTCGGATAAAACACAAAGTTTTTCTGACTTGAGGAAGTCGGAAAATAGCCGACCTCCGAACTTGGACATGGATATCCGACCTCTAGCTGAAGTCGGAAGTGACCGCACAGAAGTCGGAAAGATACGACAACAAGTCGGCAAAGACATTCAGAAGTCGAGAACCGACCTCCTAACGGAAAAATCCGACCTTCGGACGGATGGAAACATAGTTCATCCGATCCTCCGAAGTCGACCATAACCGACCACATGTCGGCAGTCGGCAA